ATAATAATATTGTATTTAAAGACCAAAGTTTTTATTAACATTTTTAATTCAATTTTTTATTTCAACCTGCAGAAAAAAAATTAAATGCGACTTAATATTTTTTTTTATTTATTTTTTTTTATTTTTTTTTTATTTATTTTTTTTTTATTTATTTTTTTTTTTATTTATTATTATTATTATTTTTGTTTTTTATTTATTTTTTTTTTATTGACCCAATTTGACTTTCAATTAACACTAACATTTTCTACTTTAATCCTCTGAAACAACAACAACTACAACAACTTGCAACAAATCTCAGCAGAAAGTCCAAATACCTGCGCTGGCCTCGGGTATTATACAAAAAATGAAAAGATAGAGTATAGCCCACTGTTCGCATTATCTTTGGCAGGCTGCTCTTTTTCATTATGAAATTATAAATATTTTATTTAATACTGAAGCGAGGACAGCACTCACTGTAGAGAGGGAGAGAGATAGGGGCAGAGAATGAGAGAGGGAGAGATGGAGGGAGGGAGACCGGGCAAGCTGTAGGTGCCAAGCGGCCAAGGGGCCAAGGAGCCAGTAGTCTGTGTATTAAATTCCATTGCCAATTGCAGGCGACTTTGTTTTGCTGCCAGCTACGTTTCAATTTTAAATGAAACATAAAATTTCACTTGCACGCAGTGGTGAAACGAGAACCGAAAACCAAAAAATAAATATATGTGGGCGTGAGAGAGCGTGTGTGTGTGTGTGACTGTGTGTGTGTGTGTGTGTGATTGTATTTGCGAGCATTTCAATTGAAATTTACAAACCGCTCGAATGACCTTAAGCTACTTTAACATAAGCTGATGGGCGTACTGGACGGTGGGGGCGTGCCAGCGACAAGCCGCACAATAAAAGCAAAAGTAATGCAGGAAAAATAAAAATGGAAAAGAAAACTGAAAAAAATTGTGAAAATTTCATAAAGCAAAACTCAAACAGCGCCGAAAGTTAAGTAAAAATGTAGGTAACCAATGGCTAGGGGCTTTTCTGGGCGCGCCCAAAAAAAAAAAAAAAGTGAGCCGCCCAGTAAAAGTTATGGCCATTTTACACACACACACACACACTGTGGTGAATCGCCTTTTGCCAGGTGGTTTCGGTTTTGGGGCTTATTTGATTTTTGCTTGAGTTATTACACAACTGGCAACTGCATAAACACGGCAACCGCAATGCCTCCAGCATATAAATTCAATTTAAAATATATGTATAAAAGCAAATATATGAACGTGTACATCCATATCATATTTCTCTATCCGAATTCCACTGAAGCTGTTCTCTTGTCGTTTATTTTTTTTTTTTTTTTACAATTATTGCCAAGTTTGACTGTTCAAAGAATTTTTACTTATTTATTACTTTTAAAACTGAATTAGGACAACAAGCACACAGATTATTATTACTAATTATAATATATTCTAAATTTATAATTAAATTTTACAGCTTCCTTCAAACTGAATATTTTTTATGAAATAATTATTTAATTCAATTAAAATGAATTATAATTTATCTTTATATAAATAGCGCTTAAGCCTAATTCATATTTGTTTTATTTTATATTTTTATATTATAATAAAAATTATCATAATAAATTATATATAAAAGCAATATAAATAAGTATAATAACATTTTACCTAATAGTTAATAATTGTAATTTAAGGTAATAAATAAATTCAACTAACATGAAACATAAAAATTTCTTTATGCATATAATATTCAAACCTAATTTAGTTATCTTCTTTTATATATTTTTCAATTGGTTTGTAAAAAGAATTTAATTATAATACATTGATATTTTTATTAAAAACTATTTAGAATCAGTTAAGCATACGACATGTATATATTATATATATATTTTATGCATATGCAGATTCATAATTATTACTAATTTCTTTTTTTTAGTTTAATTGACTATGGTAAATGAAAATAAAGCCAAATATATATTATTTATGTGTTATTATTATTCAATTACAATTTTATAAGTATGAAATAGGCAAAAACTGCTTAAATCATATGTTCTTTGATATATTATCAATCATAATTTCAGCCATATTACATATTTTATAAAGAAAATGGCCATGAGAACTCTATAAGTTATTGAATACAGAATAATTAATTATTATTATATTAGGATTCCATTAAATGAAATCTAATTTTCTAGTTTCATATAATCAATAGATAACCGAATATATAGTTACATACCTTTTTCATTATAATGAAAACCTGTTCGTTTATAATATTTGGAAAAACACCCAAGCTACATTGAGTTGTTCGATTCAAAAAATTGAAAAATCGAAAATGTTGTCAATTTAATGTCACAGCGTTTAGCTGAAAGAAAAAGAAAAAAAATTCAGGGTTTTTCAATTTTGTAGTTTTATAGCAACTATGCTCAAGTAAAGCTCTCAATGATACTTTGGTTTCTTCACGGCAACAGGACTCGACGAGCTCGGTAACATCCTGGCGCAGTTTGGCACAGAACAAATACTTTCGTGGACCATTTTAAATGGCGACAGCGCCAAAAAGAAAGGGTGACCCAAGTGAGTATCGACGGCTATATAAAACTGAATCATCTATAACCTTTAGATATAACCCACACACACACATACGTAAATTGCAGTTACATCAAATTCATCGCAAGATCTAGTCACCGATCAGGCCTCGGGCAGACGCACGGAGCAAAAAGTCTACACATTTGACACCGAGAAATCGGAACAGGCCAAGCCCACCGCATCGCCGCCAAAAGATGAGAAGGTCAAGGCACAGAAGACGATCCTCGAGGAGCATGGCATCATCCTGGGCAAAGTGATTGGCACGGGCAACTATGCCAAAGTGAAGATCGGCTTCTCCGAGGAGTATGGTAAGCGGGTGGCCGTCAAAATTATATCGAAAGTGAAGGCGCCATCAGAATACACACAAAAGTTTCTGCCCCGCGAAATTGAGGCTGTGAAGGGACTGCATCATGAGAATCTGATTACATTCTATCAAAGCATCGAGACGAGTCACCGGTAAGTGTGTGAGACTCGACTATAGACTGGCTAATCCTACCATCATTCCCCCCTGTAGAGTCTATTTGATAATGCAGCTGGCAGAGAACGGCACTCTGCTCGACTATGTGCGCGAAAAGAAATTCCTGGATGAGCCGCAGTCGCGCACCCTCTTCAAGCAGCTGATCAGCGCCGTTGAGTACATTCACAGCAAGGGCGTCGTGCATCGCGATATCAAGTGCGAGAACCTACTGCTCGATGAGAACTGGAACCTGAAGCTGATCGACTTTGGGTTCGCACGCAAGGACACGCGCACAGCCGAAAACCAGGTGGTGCTCTCAAAGACCTTTTGCGGGAGCTATGCCTATGCCAGTCCAGAGATTCTAAAGGGTATATTCATATATTGATATATTGATATGTTAATATATTCATATATTCATATATTCAAATATTCATATATTCATATATTCATATATTCAAATATTCATATATTCATATATTCATATATTCATATATTCATATATTCATATATTCATATATTCATATATTCATATATTCATATATTCATATATTCATATATTCAAATATTCAAATATTCATATATTCATATATTCATATATTCATATATTCATATATTCATATACTCATATATTCATATATTCATATATTCATATATTCATATATTCATATATTCATATATTCATATATTCATATATTCATATATTCATATATTCATATATTCATATATTCATATATTCATATATTCATATATTCATATATTCATATATTCATATATTCATATATTCATATATTCATATTTCCATATATGCCTTCATATCTCCCAGGCATTGCCTATGATCCTTTCATGTCGGATATCTGGGCCTGCGGCGTGGTCTGCTATGCCATGGTCTTTGGCCGCCTGCCCTACGATGGCTCCAACGTGCACATTCTGCTGAAGCGCATTAATCAATCGCTGGTGTTCCCCAAAAATCCGGTAGCCAGCAGCGAGTGCAAGCACATGATCATGCACATATTGGCCCCCGTCAAAATCAGATACAATGTGCCCCAGATCAAAGAAGATCCTTGGCTGTCCTCCAAATAATGTCCGAGTCAGCCTAGTTCTCGCTGTTGCAGCAAATATTCAACAAACTTATTTCATATAAATTTTTAGTCAATAAAACTGCACAATTAGACCGAAATAAAGTGTGACCTTTCTACAGGTGTTAACTGAATCCTATTTAGATATACAATTTATAATATAATATATATTTATTTAATTTCTTTTCGAAAGAGAAATCAAAAGCTATCAAATCGTAGTCCCTATACATAGGCCATTTAGCATATCAACATTTAGACTTTCAAGCATTATTCTTGATCAGCGTAATGAAATAATCCGATTTAACTATGCATGTTTTTCATTGCCTAGATACCTGTTAGTATGTCTGTATATCTTCTCTCTGTCTGACTCTTTGCCTATCTCATTCTCCGTCTCTCCGTCTGTCTCTCTGCCTGATAAAAGCGATACTCTTGTAAAAAGAAGCTAGACTGCTCATATCAGCAGAGAGAGCTCCCATTAGGCGACTGAGCGTGACTTAGTCTTTGAGTGAAAGTCGCCTTATATAAAGGACAGCAATTGCCGCTTTCCCTCAGTCGCCCAGGCCTGGTTGAGGTCAGTCGCTCAGAGCATTGAAGTGAAGTGAAGTGAAGCAAGGTATGTAATCGCACAGCTAAGCATTAAAAACTCAGAGGAATTGCTTGGAGGAAGAAGGCGAATACCTTCAGGAAATACATATATCCATTTATTTTTTTACTGAACAAACGTTTTTCATATTTAAATACTTAAATTCACCACAAGTTAGGCGCTCAGACATTTGCCTTTCACACCTTTGTCAGTTAGCAGACCCAGTATAAATACATGTTGGGGATGAAAAATAGTGGGTATAGTGAATAGAAATTCGTATTCAACTTATTATCTTCATAAATCCAAATAATTTTCTATTTAATGTCACTTGGATTTATTTGGCCTTTTTAACACAACAAACTTTAAGTAACACAATTTCACCCCAAACTAGGCGCTCTGTCGTCAGCTTTCTCCACAAGTTGGCAGCGCTAATACATATCGTTCAGCCGCCACAATTTGACGATAACACAAACAATCGGCGCAAATCGAATGAGTCGCGCTTTTGCGTAAGATATTTCAAATAAATTTTTGCATTTTAAATTGTTTAATATAACAAAAAATATTTGATTGTGTAATTTCATAAATTATTTTACATTTACATTTACAGCATTATTAGCTTCATTCAATGGCCTCCATGACAACAATCGGTTGCTCTGGCAACGACAGCTGCCAAAACAAAAAAATATTCCGAAAATACAAAGTTACGCGTTTCAAAAGTATGAAAATTGTATTCAAAAACTATACTCAATTGATGTACTACTGGCAAAGGTGCTAAATTGATGGCGGAAGTGCACATAATTGGACAACTACTGAAAGCTGTTGACTTCGACGAGCCACATTTGTATTGCAAGTGGAGTTTTCAGAGCGGTAAAACAAATAATATTTAATAATTAGTATATTTACAATGTATATTTCTTAACTGTGTAATTTAACGGCACTAGGCAACACCTGGCGCTTGGTGCAGGGCGAGGTGCAGGGTCAGACACACGTTTCCAGCCATCGCCTGCAGAACAGCTCCGACTTCGCTCAGCCCATCGATATTCACCTGAGCACCGCCTCCCTGCAGGGCTGGCCACGCCTACTCGTCGAAGTGTACGCCGTCAACGTCCTGCAGCAGTGCTGGCCCGTCGGCTACGGCTTTGTCCACCTGCCGGCCAGACCGGGCCCGCATCGCCTGGAGATAAACACCTGGAGGATTGCTCCGAGCACCTGGTGGCAGAGCGTTAAGGAGAAATTTGGAGGGGGCAGTCCTGCTTTGCATAAAAACGATTTACTTTACTCGGGCGTAGAGCGGTAAGCGCGAAATTAAACAAGCTTCAAGAATCACAAAACCAAATAAATCTTAAATGTGGTTTAAGGCAAAAGATAAGCTTGTAGAAATTAAAGCTCTGACAAGAAAATAATCCTATTTGAGAAGTTCATTAATTAGCTGGTCACATTAAGCTATGTTGAGCTTTTTCGTTTACAGTTTAATGAACTTTAATTTGAGTAGATTCAGGCAGAAGAAGAACTTCTAGAAAAAAGCTTTCTAATTTACTATTTATCTTGACTCACATATACACATACAAATATATTAACCTTATATATGGACATTTATGGATATTCAAGATTTCCTAAATATCTAGAATCTTATTCTCGTATATATTAAATTTAAAAATTCATTAATATTTAAGCTTTCCTAAATAAATAGAAATTAAATTGATATTCCCATATATATAATTCTCAGTTCATTTTCAGCTAGTGTCATTATTTAATTAGCATCTAATTTGTTGTCTTCAACTACTTTTACTCACATTCCTCTCTCTCTCCCTTTCTCTCTCTCTCACAGCTACAAACTGCAAACGCGCAGCTCTGGCAAAATAATTGTGGAACTCAATTTAATATTTCGCAGATTTGAGGAATACGGCGTGGAATTTAAATAAATTAAAATAAACATGTTTCACATGAATATATTAATAACTCTCGCCGTATTAGGCATTTGCCTGCTCTCAGCTCAGATGCAGTGCATCAAAATCGGCGTCTCAAGGGGCGACAACACTACCGCTGCAACAACACCACTAACATCACCAACAACAACAAGGACAACAACAACAACAACTGCTGCAACAGCAACAACTTCGACAACATCAGAATTTGCAGCAACAACAACAGCAATAGACAATTACGATTTGGATATGAATACTACTTCCAGTTCCTTAATAGACGCTGTGACGACGCCCAGTCAAACGTTTCCGCCCCGACGAAAGACGTCCAAGCCACGCACCACTGCAGCGCCCACAAAGCCCACAACACCTGCCGTTGCTGCCACAGCAAACAGCTTCAATGCCAGCACAGCTCCAGCATCTGCTTCGCCTCGCAAGGACACGAGCTTCTATTACTGCTCCTGTGACCTACGGCAGGATTTGTGTGAGGTCAACTGCTGTTGCGATCGCGACTGCTCGCAGGAGTCGCTGCAGGTCTTCAGCTGCCTGCCCGAACAGCACACGCGCCTCGAGGACTTTCAGTATAATCATGGACTGCCCACGTGCCAGATCAGCGACGGCTGGCTCTGCGTCTTTCGCAGCCACACGAAACCAGCCAAAAAGCAGGTAAATCCACTATCGTAATTACTTAACTATGTTTAAATGATAAAAAAAGTAGAATCCGGTTATAACGACACTCAAGGGACCGTCGCGTCGGTCGTTATACCCGGAAGGCGCTATAACCGTATAAATTTTCTCATCAAAGTTTGTCTGGGGACCAGAATCGTTATAGCCGGATTCTACTGTATTACCATTTCTATAGATTAGCAGTGAGTGTAGGCTAATAATAGATGGAATGCTATTAATGAATTCCTAGTTCTCGCTATACTACCTAGATCCCGACTCCTGGCGAACTGATAATACTTCTTCGCTTCATTATGTCTATTATAACACAATTTAATGCTCTACAATTTATAAAATTTGGAAAGTATTGCCTTTTCGATACGCCTTGACCGATATATAGTACATAATCTATATAAATATATATTTTATAGCTATAAGGTAATATAAACTATATTGTTTGGTAAACGTAATTGACAAATAATTGAAATAAGTCATAGTATCCATCATGGATAAGAGAAGAGAGAGAAATTAGGGGAAACTATTAGATGCAAATTACATGTACATTTTGACGAAATTTATGAAGATATTAAATAATATTATATAATATTAATAGTATTATTAAATAATAAAAGTAATTTCGTTTCATTTTATTGAATCTAACATTGAAACTCTTCTATTTTTAACCAGACCCCAAGCCAAATCTTCGATTCCAAAGACTACAATAGATGGCCGGAACAGTTGGATGCCTTTGAGACAGCGCTGCCGGCCCCACCAATGACGTCCCACTACAAATTCGGCCAGGCGCTGCAGCTGTGGCAGCCCGAGAGCAAATCATTAGCCAACTGGGAGCTGCCCATGGCCTACGAGAGCGCGAGCTGCCAGTTGAAGCAAACGTTGCTCTATCTGCAGCCAATGGAGAGCAGCTGCCTCCTCGCCGATGCCACGCAATTGCAAATGAATCTCTGGAGTCTGCTCAATCTGACCAACAGCCATCAATTGCTCTCGCGGCCCAGAGAGCTGGAGGAGCAGCAGGTGCATGGCCTGAACATAACGATTTGCCAGCAGCTGCTGCTGCAGCCCAAGATCCAGTGCCTCGAGCACAACGAGACGCAATCGGAACTGCTGGTGGATCGCATTGAGCTGCAGCTGCTGCATAATTATACAAACATTCTGGAGGCCAAGCTGCTGCTGAGGGAGGCCAGCGTGGAGGATGACAAGACGATGCTGTGGCTGACCTACGCGCTCGTCTACCAGTCAGTTGAGGAACTCAATACCAAGCCCAGCTCTGGCGCACTTGGCTATGAGCTTGGAGCACCCCTGCTCCTGGCCATGCTGCCAAGTGAGAACAGCAGCAAACCGGAGTTGCTCAACTACTATCAGAGCCAGAATGAGAGCAACCAAGTCAATCAGCACTGGCTGATGCCCTGCAGCCAGAGCTTGGAGCAGCGCCACGCCGTCAGCTTTGGCATTGACCTGACCAAGCAGTGCCAGCTGAGGCAGCTCTCGCCTGAGCCGGGACACGAGAATAACACGGACTACTGTCAGCAGCTGCAGCAGGCCATTTGGCGCCAACTGCTGCCACCCAACTGCACCCAGCTGGAGCAAGTGGCTCAGCTGGTGTTCGTCTCCCAGCTAGGTAGACCGCAGCTGGATAAATGGCTGCCGCTGCAGCTCAGCTATGCCGACGGCCAGCCCCACCAGACGCCCATCCAGGCCACTTACGATGCCCAGCAGCAGACTCTGAGCTGTCGCAATATGTGGCTCAGCGTCAGCTATGAGTTTTATGTCTCCGAGCTGGCGCTGCTCGACGGACGAGTGCCCCATCAGAGTGTCCTGCAGCATGCGAGGCTGGTGCTCGGCCAGCGACACGATCTCGAGTTCGATGCGGCCGAGGAACATATCCAGTTGCCTCTAGCTGTCTCCGTGATGTTCTTCAAGGCGCAGAAGAAGCTGCACAACAATTCAAATAATTTAATTGTCCTAGATTCCCACTTGATATTCATCTCTCTTATAATTCTTATGATTCCAGCTCAAAGATTTCAACTTAGCTAGTCAGGGTAATGAATTAGAAGCTGATATATATATATATATATATATATATATATATATATATATATATATATACTATATCCATTCCAAATATTAATATAAAATGAATAAAAAGCTTTTTGCAAGAATCTATGATTAAATGTGGAATATGATTTACTTTGAAAGCGATAACCTTTATCCAAGTCTATATCGATCTATATAAATATATTATATATAATTATTGATCATATAAAAATTTATAAATATTTACCAATAAATATTCACATATTAGCCAACAAATGCTACAGATGTTGGTACAGACGTTGTACTGTGGAGCTCCGCTCCTGATGTAAGCAATCAGATAATGGAAGTATTCATTTCTCATTTTCATTTCTCAGAGTACCAGAGACCAAAAGGATTTAAAACTTTTAGTTTCAGTACGGAGTATGTATAAATAACTAAAGTAATAAAGCTAAGTAATAAGCAAAGATCTAATATATCACTTTTTGAAAATCAATATTGGATTGTTTTGGTCCCCGTACCAAGCTTCTCACTTAGGAATAGGAACATAGGAATAAAATCTATGTGCTATTCTTCTATTATAATTATTTCAAGCACAATTAACGCTGATTGAATAAGATTTATATGTAGAATGAATCGAATGCAATCATCTAGGATTAGTATATAACGTTATGATCCTGGCTAATTGAGGTATCTCGATCAGCTTAGCAGATATCCCTGCGGCACTTGCGCAACTGTTTGCGCAACAGCAAGGCATTCAGCTCGGCCTGCTTGCGCTTCTCCTCCTCCTCGATGGCCAGCCTGATCTCTTCGGCCTCATTGGTGGCCCGCTCGGAGATCTCGTGCAGCTCGGGCAGGAAGTCGAGCACACCCTTGCGTATCAGATACTGATAGTTCATGGCCGCAGTGTATTTGATCTCGTTGCCAATCACGTGACTCAGCTCCATCCAATGCAAATAAATCCAGTTTTCGTTGCGCAGATCCTTGACGCTCTGGTAGACGGGCACGAAATCGTCAATTTTCCCTATGAACACATTCGCCACCTCCATAATCTCGGGCTTCTCACTGAAGTTGTCCAGCGATTGCACCAGTTCTCTGCGCAAATTCATCAAGTTGTTCCACACCTCATCGAGCTCAATCAACGCAATGGGATTACCCAGTGTGGCATCCTCCAATTTGTGAAAGTTGGCGCAGGCATACCAGAGCGTTCGATAGGGCTGAAAGCTCCTGACGATGCTGGTCAAAAACTCGGTGGACAGCGGCTCCAGTTCGAATAGCTCTTGACGATATTGGAGCGTTTGGCCCAGCTTCTCCAGTTCCCGGATCACGGCCGATGTCAGTTTGATATCGACCGATGTCTCCATCGCTCGATTGGGATTGAAGCAGAGCGAATAGGCTTGCACTTCGTCGTTCAGGGATTCGAGACGCTCCTCAAACACCTGGCACTCGCTGTAGTGCTGACGCAGGAACTCATCAATATCGAGCTTCTGCTCCTCCTTCAGAGTGGACAAACGCATCAGGATCTGATGGGGCCACGCAAACGCGTTCCATTTCATAGCAAACTGATGATCGGTCAGATTGTAAAAGAAACTATCGAGCAGATCATACTCCAGCCAAAGCACCTGAATATCGGCACGCAGATGCTCCACACGGTCGGGCACGGTCAGCGCAAAGTCCCGGATCTCGAACAGATGCTCGATGCTGACGGGTCGCAGGGCGATCTTGTGGAACACCTCCTGGCAACGCTCGATGATGGCCTCCGTCGACTCGTACATGCGATCCACATAATACTCGAAGATGCGCCGCACCAGGTCAATGTACTTCTTGATCAGGAACTGCTTCATATTGTCCACATTGATGTAGAACGGTCCGATGGTTATGAACGATGGCAATATTTCGCGAACCTCCTCCTTCCGTCGCTTATACTCCAGTATATCCCATTTCACCTGCGACGAGGGCTTGCGCGCCAATGCATAGTCCTTCATGAAATCAACGACATTCAGCAGATAGAAGTCAATGAATCGCTCGTAGTGACGGGCATAGGCCTTCAGAGGCAGCACGGCGTGGGCATAGCAATCGTGCATGAGCTCGTTCTGAATCAGGAACTTATCCTCGATCAGCTCGACGGTCAGGATGAATAGATTGTGGGCGAATTTCAGATTGCTCATGACTTCCGCTTCAATTGTGCGCACGCCCGATGTCTTCTCCAGACCCCGGCGGAAGATGTCCATTAGCGAGGGCTGAAAGTCATCCGGATTTGTGGAGTAGAAAACCTTGCGATCGTCACTAATGC